TTTTTCCCTGTAGATCTGAAATCTCATATTCTGCAAATACAAGGAAGAAAGATAAAGGCTCTTGCCAAACTGTAGAATTCCATTTCTCTGTATTTTTGCTAACAAATACAGTTGGTTGGGCCCTGCTGTTACCATGATTCAGTCATTTCACTGCTTGCCCATATGATATAATGGCAACAATTACTTTTTTTGATGAATATTTACTGTATCTGACTTGCCAAGCTGCTTGCCCTAGCATAAACCAATTCAAACAGTTGTCTTGACTTTGAAGTCATCTGATGTCAAAGAAAACAGATATGTATGTGTAGCGTGTCACGTATCCTTGTGGGATCGGTGTCCTTGTGTATTCCTAGTTTTCATCTACGTCGTCTAAATCAGACATTTTGCTCCAGGATTAGAAACTTGCCCTGGCAAGTACTTGCACGCATGTATGTTTGTGGGTACACCTGTTTTACTGTCTTTTTGTGTTGCTTTGTGACTCAGCCTTCTGGCTGCTGCCTCCTTTTTGTGCCTTTTTTTTTTTTATGTCAAAAGGAGTTTGTTCTTTTGCTTCATGATGAGTTTGAAAACGTCTTTATCCATTTGAAATGGCTATGTGTCTGTAGAAAGTGGTTTGCTTGCAACACGTAATTAAGTTCCTCTGTGTTCTTAGGGAGAAAAAATACATTAAAAATTTAGATCTTCATTTTCGTGGTAGATAGAGAAGAGAGATATTCATGCTGCTGTGAGTGGAGTGGCAGCCCTTCCCTCCACAACTGTTTTTAAAGATTTTTAGACTGGTCTTGAGAATTAGTAGCCAGTTCTTTTGTCTGTCTTTCTGGGTTTTGTTCAGCGATGGTTTCAGCAGGGGTATTTTTGGAGAGGCGATTCATACTACTATATTGAAGTGTTATGTGTTTGATGCTGATGTAAAAGGGACAGAAATCTTATCAAAGATGGGGAGGGAGAAGTGGGTGAGGTTGAGTCTCCTCAGAGTCATGGGTGAGTTCTTCTCTTGGTTGGTTGGGCATATTGTCTCAAAATGCCAAGATTTAAGAAAAGGTTTGAAATCTTCATGGCCTGCAGCTTCACAGCTCTACTGTCAGTGGTTTCTAGATAGCAGTTGTAGTGGGTTAGAGAGTGAGGCAGAGCATGGAAAATGGACTTGAGGCACCTGGGATCTTGGCCCAAGGTAACTGCTGTTACGCAGAAAGCTGAGTTGGTTATCAGTGTGCTCTGGATTCCATCCTTGGCAGGATTTGATTTTTCTTATTCTGAGAAGAGTTAAATATATTATTCTAAAGCTGTGATTTGAAAAGTATGTGAGGCAGGGTTGATGAAAGCCATTTACAAAGCTTTGAAGATAGTGATTAGGGCTTAGAGTAGAGAATGGATTCGTGACACATTAAGATGAAGTTTGTCATTTTTAGGAGATGGCGTAGGTCTTATTGTCAGTTTTGGAAAGTTCATCATAGCTGCATGCTTAACTGCAGAACTATAAAATACTAACCAAGTTCCACCTTCTGCTTAATAAGAGAAGGCTGTCAATCGTATATGTTTCAAGCACTAATGAAGAATGATGTATAATATGAAAAAGTAACATGCTGTGAAACTTCTCACTCCTAGAACACAGTTTACAGTCCTGGTTTTTTTTATAGACCTCCTTAAATAGCCTTCCTTATTTGAGTAGGCATCTTGTAAATACAGCAGGGGGAGAGAGGTTGCTTTATGCAAACTGGATTACTATACTGTATATAAAAGAATTGGAACATGCATTGTCTTTAAAAGGAGAAAAATTATATTGGATGGGGTTTTTATATGAAATGAGGCATGCACTCCTTTATGCTTTTAGTGAAAATGTGCTTATAAACAACTGCAAAATTTCCTAGCAAGAAAACATGCCAGAATAGTTCTCTGAGTGCTGTAGGGTGCCACAAAAATGGCAAGTTTAGAATATAAGTTTTTCTAAAGGCAACATCCTTAACTGTGGCTTTTCCAGCAAATTTGGCTTCAATAGAAAAATTTAGAATATTCTCTACCATAAATATCTAGCAAGGTAGGTTGTTTTGGGGCTGGGTTTTTGGATTCGATCCTTACCCTTCAGCCTTGTAATGCTGATCGCTTAGTTTTCAGATATTGGATTCAGCAGGCACTATTATTTAATGCCTTTTGTCTAGCATGGAAGACTAATGAAATATTGGCATGTTGTGGGCCACCAAATCTGTGAAACAAGAGCCTATTGTGCAAGGAAAGAAGTAGAAGAGAGTGGAGAGAATGCAAATCAGACATCTGAAGTGAAATGTTATGCTCGATAAATAAGATGAATATATTTTGTTTTAAAATTATCTGCATCAGAGTGTTGTAGACTTTTATATGAACTGTGTCCCAAGACTTCAGATTGGCAAAATATTTTTAGTAAAAAACATAAATTTGAAGTAGAAATATTTTGGTTTGTTTTTTTTTTCCTTTTATTTGATATCACTATCTCTGCCTTCTTTTGTAGCTACTCCAGTGCTAATCAGGTATCAGTTTAGGAGTTTGCATCCTAAAATATATTTATGTATTTCTCTGGAAAAGACACTTCTTTCCAGAGGAATAAAACCTGGGAGAACTGTCTCTGACAGCTTGCAGGTCCATATCTCAGTCAGAAGAACAAAGAAGAATGAACTGCAGAACCCAGTGTCTTAACTTAAATGACCAATTTAGGGTAGGTTTGGAATGGAAATCCAGGTGATGAGCTGGGATGGCTGCAAGATGGGGATATTCCTTTGTGCTGACTGGGCAAATAGCTCCAGCAGAGAGGGGCACGGTAGCAGGCAGGAATGGGGGGCAGTTGCCGCAGCTTTCTGGTCAATGTGAATCAGAATCCACAAACTCAATGGAAGTGGAAACCCAGCGTTAGCAGATTACCAGAATGTTGCAGCATCTTCCATGTGGAGAAAAGTATGTTGCCCATCTCTTGCAGACCTACTCAGCCAAGCGCCTTGAAAATTACCTCTTTGAAATTGTTTCTTGGGTCTGTGTGTGCAGAAGGAATCCACGGTGTGTGTTTGGTGTTCTGGGCTATAACCACGAACCTTAAAAAAATAATTACAAATTAAGTTTAAAATAAATCTTTTAAACATAAAATAGTAAATATTAAAACATCTTAACTAGTGAATATAAAATGTAAACATAAAGTATAGATAAATTAGTTATCAGTATTAGATGCCATGCTTGTGAATGAAGTTTGGCTCTCGCTTTTTAGGTTCAGTCGTTAATAGGTAAGTTTTGCAGTTTTTGTCTCATTGAGGCTGGAGTGGGGTGTGAGGAACTTGACAAAAAATTTAAGCGAGCTAAGTGTTGGTTGTGCATAAAGGAAATACGCATTAACAAAAGAAAGTCATAAACATCAGAAGCAGCGGAGTGGCTGTTTAGTACTGGTACTACTCTGATGGAGCTGTGGCCTACTGGAGGGGATTTCCTGAGCAAAGACTGGACAACAGTGGAAGCCGAAAAAAGCAATTAAACATAGGTGCATAACATGATAAAAACTGTATTAATTGTTCTTGTATGTACCAGTTCCATCATCCTGAATGTTATATTTAGTTTTAACGGTTCACGGGGGTCAGGGAGGGGACTAGAGCTGAACAAAATGTGTCATGAGAAGACAGGTTGAAAAGATTAGTGATGCTTAAATTGGAGATATAATCAATGTGAATATGAGGAAGGGTGACAAAGGACCATGAATTGCATAAAGATAAAATAAGAGACCCTTAGTTGACATTACAGAAGCAAGAAGAATATTCAGTAGAAGACAGGCAATTAATTAAAATAGAATCTCAAATGCATCAGTACTTCTGGAAGCTAAAAGTTTATTGAACAGCTAAGAGATTCAATACTGAGAATATCAAAACAAGCCTCTCTTTCTGAAAAATCAGTGTCCCATGTCTGCTGATGTTTTTTTAGGGAAAGAACAGAAGGTTAGATCATGTAGATGATGCCTTTTCAAACTGAAAGCAATCTGACATGCACAGTGTAAGGACTTCACGAGCCAGACACCGTATCCACGTGTTTGTGTTCAATAGCGTTGTTTGGGTTTCTGTCTGTATATTTTTGTCATCCCACTTACACTTCTGGCTTCCATGTTGTGGCACTAAGTTTCACAGTTGTAATGATGGTTTATGTGATGTAGTCTAGCCTTTCCGTTTATTTTTTATAAACCTGCTGCCTGATTTCATAATTTCATGGATTTCATTAACAGGAATACCCAGTTACATTAAGAAAAACTTTTTAAAGAGAGCCAACCATGACACAAGGCTACCTCTCTAAGCAAGGCTTTCTGTAATTGTTCACTGGGAGCGTCTTGTTACCTGTAGGAGATACAGTATTTACTGTTTGACTCTCTTCTGGTGTAACAGCCTCTGTGGACAGCCAGTAGGTTTCATCCTGGCCATGCCTGCTGTGTCCTAACGGTGAATAAAGTTGAGTCCTGGATATGTCAAAATAAGCTGCTAATTACTCAGAACGAAACGCTTCGCCCATTGAATGCACAACATTACACACACTTGTCTGTAAACGCTAATGGGTGGCTTTCAAGGTGCGTATCCTGGGACCAAGACCTACCTGTCTAGAGCTCAGCGGTAGAACTTTTTTTGACTGATAAAACCAGCCTTCTGTCCCCAATCTCACTCATACATAGTAACGGGCAAATGCCGTGTTACCTCACTTTGCGGGTGAAAGTTCAGTGTGTACTTGCTGGCCCTCACTCTTAGTTACTAAGAGGTTTACGTACTGTAACAACCACAGAAGAGGTTGGTTTCTGAGGCCCAAAATATTACCAGATCTCTCACTAATTCATAGGTGTAACGAGAGCAAAATCAGAGACTTTCTGTCAAAATCAGAGGAAGTTCTTTTTAACTAAAAATAGGAAACGGTTTCTGCGTGTTGGGCTTTGTGTTCCAACTGTGTTCGTGTAAAGCAACGTTTTGCAGTGAGTATTGAATGTCCTAATCTTTACTCCTTTGTTTGTCTTTTTCTAGGAGAAGCTCTGCCTACCACATCACATCCTAGAAGAAAAGGGCTTGGTAAAAGTGAGCGTAACAGTTCAAGCATTGCTAGATGTAACCACAGTGAAACAAGCTTTATTCACATGAAACTACTATCTCTGCTGTTACCAGCTCCACTGTGCCATCAAAGAGTCAAAATACTGCCCATCTTTTCAAACTGCATTGAAAAAAAACCAGTGCTCCAAGAGTATCCTTATACTTCTGATTTTAAAACCATCTTTCAGACTGCACGCGTGCGTCGAACTACAAACCAGAAACTAAACAGAAACATTTTATAGTGCGAACGGGCGCTTCACTGCTTTTATAGCTCGCTTTGTACAGTACTTACTAAAACAGCCACCTCTCTGCCACTTGAAAATGTGTGGAGTACACAGCTGTCTTGCAGCAAGATACCTTCGTATTATTCAACTAAGAATCATTGTAATCATTTTGGGGGGGGACGGGACGAGGGAGAGTAAATCTGACTTCGACCACGTTAGGTTTTTCTGCAGTTGCTTCAGGCTATTGCCTTTTAAAAATACCCTGACATAAAATATTTATATAAATATTATTTATTAGTGAGTTGTTATTCATCCTTTGGATGCAAAATGTAAATTAGGAAACTGTATTTTATTACTGCTTTTTTGTGGTTAAACACTTTATTTTAATATAAATATTTAGTTATTTTTTATTCTACTTGGTGTGCAGTAGCTCTAGATCTCCATAAATTGTATTTTCTAATAAGTAAGATAAAAAGCAAACAAAATAGGTGCTTTTATTAAAAGAACAGCTAGCTGGAATGGCAGTCTTTATTTCTTGAACTTGTGGAACATTGGTAAAAATTTGCCTGCATTCCGTTTGAGTTTCCTACATTCCAGTAGCTCTTTTCCCCCCGCTAGACTAAATTGGCTGAAACAAAGAGCACACCCATTTTATCTGTATATAGATGTTTTAAAGAAAAAAAAAGGAAATATGTAAACTTGAAAAATAAATGTGAACAAATATTTTTTGATTGCTTATTTTACTATGCACCAAGACATTTAACTTTTGCCACAACAAAATGAGTGATGTGCATTAGGATCATGTGTCTTGAAATATAATTTTGCACTGTAACTTGAGTTCTTTTAAAGACTACAGCACTACAGGACAAATAATACAAATCAGCACAAGAATATCAGCGAGAAGATTTACCAGGTGGCCAAAAAATTTTAGTTGTTTTTTTCGAGGATTCCTTCGAGAGGAGATAAAATTATTACAATTGCTAAAGGCGGTCTCAGAAGACCTGATCTTCCAGATACAACCTGCTGGGTACAGTGCTTCTCCTTATAGTCTCCATCATTTTCCCCACAGAATTAAGCACAATGTTCCATAGCGAACGTTTGCAGGATCAGACCTCTAATCCCACGTCAGCAATAGGAAATAAGGTTCTTTTTCTTACCACTACTTAAAATTTTTGGAAGAGATTTTTAAAAGCATAATTTATTATTAAATCACCACATGTTTTAGATCAGAAAGTTCCAGCATAGCCATTCTCACCGTATCTGGAACATCCCTTTTTCTTTCATACGAGAAGCTAGCGATGTAACTTCGGCAAGCGGGACAGGAACGCTGCATGTGGCGGAAAGGCTGGCTGTCAGGGGTCAGTGGTGCGCACAAGCAGGTGGCTCGAAACGCGTAACGACAAAAAAGAGGCAACACGGTGGGAGGAGTAAATAGGTAAGCAAGAGAACGTGGAGAGAACTATTGTGTAAAGACTTTTTGGAAGAAGGAGGCATGCTGGTCACTACTACGTAGCTAGGCAAAGTTACGCGCACGTTCACAGACACTGCATTTAGAACTACCAGTATTCCAATAGCAGACTTTTAATCGTTAATACAGTATTTGAATGCAGACCACGCGTCTTAATACCACAAGTTGCCAGTGTGCTAGTACGTATTGCCAGCAACGTGTTAGGAGGAGGAAAGTGGACTCGCAGACAGTGAGACGTACACTATGCGTGGAATATCCAGTTACTTCAACCAAAGCGAAAGCGTTTATTTTATAGAGGGAACATTGACTTAAATTGTAATTTTGATTGGCAGCTAGCATATTGTTTCCTAGAAAATGTACTGTGCACTTTAACACTAAATTAAAATGTATTTTAATATTTTACAGAGCTGCACAAATCTGTTTTGTCAAAAAGCACGAGCAATGTAAAGAAAATAAGTTTTCAAGTCAGAGTTTATCAAATTTTAAAAGCATTCAAAGATTGAGTATGAAAATAGGAATATTGATTTCTGCATCTTGAGGGATAAAATGCAGGTTTCCTGAGTATTTTTTTACAATGTATATATGGCAACATGAAAATTTGTAATTATTATTTTGACAAATCTTGTTTTTTCATAATTAAAATTTTGTTTTTCTCCTGATAGTGTCTTTCAGTATTTGCTTGAAGTTGGCTGTAAATAAATAGCTCTAAATATTTTGTAATACAGCTCTTTTTATGCAGTCTTAACCTGTATGGCTGAAAAGAGAATCTTCATGAATCTTTGTATACTATTTATATGTGCAATAAAACATGCATGGCAAATCTATACTACCCGAAGCAGTGAACATAATGTATATAGAAAATCTTTACTGTAGTTACAATTAAACTATATTATTTGTAGAAACCCTTTAATGACTACCCCTGTGACTGACAGTTTCTTGTAAAAGAGATGGTGGCTGGAGAGCTTCACGCTGGGAAGACTTCTGCAGCTGAACCGGGAGTAGGATCCAGCTAGTAACTGCTGGGTTGTCCGGTCGCTGTCGGTTCCTGCAAATGAGCTTCCTGCAGCTTTGCTGCTCCTCTTGCTTAAGATCTCCGGCCACTCACGTCGTGAACAGCAGCAGTTTGAATTAACTGCCCTCTGCTTCCAGGGCTGGGTGACCCGGGGGGCTCAGCTCAGGGAGAAGGGAGACCCCACCTTCAGTTTGCTCCTGCTCGCGTCGCTGTAGGAGTCGCTCTTTTTACCGCTTCCCACTTCACTGTACAGCGCAGCTTCTTTTTTCCCCTCACTGCCCTCCTGCAGAGATCATCCTGCAGGCTTTTGCTTTAGCAAACAAAATCTGATGATTTCTTTATTCTAGTGAATCCAAGCAGTAATGCAGTAACCCTCTCTGACCTGGGGGTAACCTGTGCCAAGCTGCTTTGCCCTTAGAATCATAGAATCATAGAATCATTAAAGGTTGGAAGAGACCTCCAAGATCATCAAGTCCAACCATCAACCCAACACGTTCTCCAGACCCCTCACCAGCCTCGTTGCCCTTCTCTGGACACGTTCCAACATCTCAACATCCTTCTTGTAGCGAGAGGCCTTCTGTCTGCAGAAACAGGTAGTAGGGACTACTGCATGTAGGTCATAGCGTACAGCCACCTCTTTCCCGTGCAGGTTTCTGAAGTCACATAAGTACAGATTCTGCTACGTTCTCATTTCTCTAATGAAGCATCTTGACCTTAACCAGGTGATTTTATGGCTGTCTTTGTTCACTTTTAGTAGTGGATTTTGAAAGGAAAGGATCTTTCCGCAATAATCTCCTGGGGAGATCCTGCTTTTTGATTGCCAAGGAAGCTTGAGTGCCTTCGTGGCTGTTGCGATACAAAGCCAGGACAGACCCATTGCTGCGTTAGAATCGGCGTAATTTAGGCAGGAAGAGTCCTGCCGCGGTCCTCTGGTGCTGCTCCGCACCGAGAGCAGAGCCTGTGTAACAGCAGGCAGCCGAGGGCCATGTCCAGCTGAGGTTTGAGCATTGCCAACCACAGAGATCTGACAGCCTCACACAATTTCTCATCAAGATGGTGCAGAGACGCTTGGTGTCTGTAGCCATCTGCAGAACTGATTCAAGTGCCCCAAGTCTTCTTTCTCCCGGGTTTGCGCTGGCCCAGACTCGCAGCCTGTGGCCAAGGGCACTTTGAGGGCCCCTTCCTTGTCAACCCTCTAGCACCAGTTTTGTAAGACCTCAGGGCAGTTTCCGTAAAGCCTTGAGATTACTGACTTCTGAAGCAAGTTCTTGTGGACCCAGAGAGCCCGTCAGATGCTTCCCTGAATCTCCTCTTGTTCACAAGCGAGGCAACTGGAAGTCCCTCTCGAGGAGGAAGGCAGCAGTGCATGTAAATGCTCCGTTTTATGGAGAAAGCAAACAGCGCGGGATGGCAGTCAATTATTAGGAGCGCCGAGTGGAAAATATGACGGGTATTTTCAGCTCTAGAATTGCAGCTGGGCAGTTGTTTGAGGAAGCTGATACGGTAATTGGTCTCCTGCTGGACTGTAAATTAAGGATACAGGAAATAAAGCTCCCCACAACTATCCACAGTATAATGGGAAACTTAGAATTATGCCATATGAATTCATCAAGTATGAAAGAGGGCTTTTTTCCCCCCACGCAGGGCAAGCTGTTTCTTACCATTAACCCAGCAGCTTTAAAATTGTGGTTTAAAAGGACTTAGGGTAAATTACATGGTTAAACCCGCTTTTTAATCTCCTCTAATATAACATGCAGGTGCACACACTCCTGTTCAGGAATGAAAAAAAAATGGTGTGCCCCTTTCCCTTAAATACAATTATCAGAATGCGTTAGGCAAAAAAGGACTAGCTTTGACGGATAACAAATGGAAATGTTTATCATCAGAAGTACCTGCACCAAGCCGAACACCCTGACTCCACTGCTACTCTGTTCGTAGTACTGGGCACAAGGCTGCCATACAAGCACAGCACACTTCTGCTCCAGTCCAGTATTAGATACAGCCCAGTAATTCATTTGCTGGCTACGGCAGAGCAGTTGCCTGGTTGCTGGGGGGGACACAAACAACTAGGAGAAGCTGCCACACATTAAACAAGCCTTTGAGCCAACTTTGCTGTTGAGGGAGTGGAAAAATCTAAATGTTTAGCACTTGTGGCTTAAAATTTTTATGTCAGTGCCCTGCTTTGTTGGAAAGGAGGAGTTAGTGTCTGTGGTAAATCTACAGAGTGTGGAAAACTTGCAAAAATGATCAGGGGGATGGAACACCTCTCCTCTGAAGAAAGGCTGAGAGAGTTGGGGTTGTTCAGCCTGGAGAAGAGAAGGCTTCGGGGAGACCTTATTGCAGCCTATCAGTACTTCAAGGGGCTTATAAGAAAGATGGCGGCAAACTTTTCCGCAGGGGCTGTTGCGACAGGACAAGGGGGAATGGCTTTAAACTAAAGGGGGGTAGATTTAGACTAGATATAAGGAAGAAATTTTGTATGCTGAGGGTGGTGAGACACTGGCCCAGGTTGCCCAGAGAGGTGGTGGATGCCCCATCCCTGGAAACCTTCAAGGTCAGGTTGGCCGGGGCTCTGAGCAACCTGATCTAGTTGAAGATGTCCCTGCCCACGGCAGGGGGGTTGGACTAGATGACCTTTAGAGGTCCCTTCCAACCCAAACCATTCTGTGATTCTGTGATTTCA